TATATGTATATATTCATGAAACTCTGCACTCACTAGAACCTAGAGGCGCTTACATTGAAGATCGCATATTGCAAAGACGTGAAAGGCGTTTGGCTAGTCCCGGTAAGCGTATCATCAAAACACTTTGACACTTTAAGTACTTGACATTAAAACGAGTAATTGCAATTTGGGACAGTTTAAAATACAATTCGTAACCCCTATCTGTTAAGATTGCAAAGCTTCGCTTGGCAGTTCTCTAGGGATTTAGTTGACAGATGAGTGTAAAATGAGATGGTTGACATTTTGCTGTTTGATCTTATGGATCGTATCCTTATTCGATTTCATTGACAATTCACGCTGTAAGTCAACCTATACTCATTTGTAGCTATAAACCGGTTTAGTTACCGATTATTTTGTTGTCTAGATAAACCCAATTTCGCATGTTTGGTGAAAAACAAATACAAACACGAACGCTATTGCATGGGTCCACGTCGCAAGTTCTATGCGTTCCATCGCATCATCATGAACTGTATCCCGGTTTTTACCAAGTGCAGAGTTTATAACAAATATAACGAATGGAAGACGCTTAAGAATTGTCGCCGTGAATGCGCTTATCATATGATAATTCATACCCCAAACAAAAAAAATGAAAATAATGGAACTGATAGTAATAGCAGCACAGCTGCTGGTGGCGCTGGTAATGGCGGCGAAGAGTCAAGTACCGACGCAGCCGGTCGTATTATTTTACCTACTACAGGTAAGAGCACGGCCCCCACCATGGCTGCCAATGGAACTGACAACTCATCGGCTAATTCCACAAAATAAAAATTAAAATAAAAAGTGTGTTTCGAAATGCTGAGAATTCGCATAATCAGATTAATATACATACATGTGCTTATATGCTATATCTATATTGAGTCTTTTGTTTTTTTTTTTTTAATATATTTCTTACAATAGTGCAAAAGTGGAGCTTAACAAGTAAGAAGGCTCCAGTCGAGACTGCACGACTGGGAGATACCCTGAACCCTATAAACTGATATTTTACTGATTCTGCACTTCTTTTATGCACTCATGCATACAGACGCACGTATTATCAACGCGCTCTGCTGACTGCGCAGTTAGCAGTTAGGAGGCGAAGGGGGCGTTGCATCCAAAATCTGTATATTACAAAATCTTCGTATCGATCAACTGTATATACACAGTAAATGAAGTCTTTGGGTCTAAAAGTGTTCAAATTAGGCTGAAAAAAACAAAGTTGATTTTTCGATTATTCTCGATAAAAAAGTTATCGGACGAGGTATCGAAAACAGATGAAAAACTTGTACTGCGTATGTTATACACGAGTATGCATGCCCAATTTCAGCTCTCTAGCTCTTGTTACCTCTGAGATCGACGCACTCATATGGACGGACAGACGTACAGGGCTATATCGATTCAGCTCGTCGTCCTGATCAAGAATATATATACTTTATGRGGTCTGCGATGATTCCTTCTGCCCGTTACATACTTTTTCCCAAAACCATTATACCCTGATTTCCCATTTTCTATGCGTTCAGGGTATAAATATATATGTATATTCTTAAAAGGTCACCAAATTCTGTTTACCGTTAACTGTAATGTTCAAGTACTTGAAGTGTTTAATTAGCATTTAATGGCAGGGGCAAATACCTACATTTGCTTTGATATATGTATGTATATGTACATAATACGTACACATACAAATAGACACAGATATATATATATATACATATATACAATCTGATGCATAGCTACCGGCGGCACAAATCAACTAATTCTAATTTGCACCACAGTTCGCAACGCAACCGCAAGCACTTCCACCACCACAACAACAACAACCGCCACAACCACAACCACCAACACAGTAGCCACTGAGAAGCGTTCAGTAAATGACGATCGATTGGACAATGTAAACGGTCAGTTGACAACCACCAGCACCACCGCTGCACCCAACCAGCATCACAAGCTGCCAACCACCGACAAAATCAATTCAACAACAACCACAACGACAACCAAAACAAAGCTCATGGGCGGCGATAAATCGAAATTGAGTCGCACCATCACTGTGCACCACTCGGTCCAGGCACATGCCAAAGGCGACAATCTGCAGGTCATTGCCAGTGGTACGGCAGACGCCAGCACCACGCAGGGTGCAGAGGCAAGCACACGGACGGTGGTGCAATCGGACGGTGCGATCGTGACCAGTGGCCAGTTCACGAAATCGAGTACCACCAAGTACGCTGTGAGGGCGGGCAGCGTGCAACACACGATCATCAGGTAACCCAGTCCTAGAGACATCAAGGACATTTTGCTGTTTTCTGTGTTCCTTTCCTGTGCGTATTTGTTATATCTCTTACAGCGCCATCAATGACCAACCAAGCTCATCTCTCTAACCAAGCCATTCAAACACCAGCTGAATAACCATCAGAAAACAATCAGCCAATCCGCAGTACATCCTATTCAATTATAATTATTTACTGAATCTGCATTCTTCGACAGCTCCTAATGTCTACAAGATACCCACTGTCTTGGGCAGCAGCAAGGAGGGTCAGATACGTTCAGCCCCAGCATATACGATGGCCGGACGCATGCGCCCATCATTGATACCCAAGCTGGTGTTGCCCGGTCCAGGGTACTATGATGGCGAATACACGGTCACCAAGTCCAAGCCACCCGTCTATTCGATGCGTGGCAAATTCAACGTCATCACCGACAACAACAAGCCCGGTCCAGGTGCACATTGCCCCGAAAAGGTAAGCCAGATCTGAGGAGCGGATCTCAGCAGTTATATACATATATATATATGCACATATATCTATACATATCGATATGACCTGGCCCTTAGTATTGGGAGAAACGTTCGACGCCTTCAATATCCTTTGGCATTATGCATTCGAGGTTCTGCGGACGACCGACCCAATGTCTATTGCCAGATCGTTTTATGAACTGCCTGTTAGCGAATCGACCCGATAGGAATTACGCCTAGCCTAGAGATCAGATCGAATACGAATAGCAAAATTAAATAGCCTAAACTAACACTGAATCCCAATTCTGCCTGACTTTAAATACTTTCCTCCTTCCATCATTCAGGTTAACCTCTCTCACACGCCCTCCTACAGCTTTGGCATCAAGCACTCGCCCTACCTGGGTCGCTTGAAAGAGAGGGAAGATGATTGTGACTTTGGCTTTTCGGGCATCTGCTGAATTAAGCCTCGACTCGCACCTCGCTCTGCTCAAGATGGTCTCAACCTTGCCCCTCCCCCCCCCCCCCTTCCTTTATCTTCTCTTCCCCTACTCTATTTAATGGAAAACAAGAGTGATGAAAATCTTCCTCACTTTCAGTTGCAAATGAGCAAACTCAGCTCTCTGTGAATAGAAAATTGGAAAACTAACCATTAAGATTTGATATTTTTTTAATTCTTTATGTAATGTAAGCAAAAAGTGTTGTAAAATGTTCAAATATATACATTTATCTGGTATTACTAACTAGCCAATACTATGTTCTAGTGTTTTTATTTCGAAATACGATAATAACTGATCAATATTAACCTGATTATTCAGAGTCAATTATAAAAAAGTAAAAAAAAAAGAAAAAAAAACCCGTTCTATATATACTGAAGGATAGTTTTCATTGATAAAAGACTCCACAAAAGAGTTCAAGAACTTTCAATAGCTTATAAGAGTTGCAACAATAACAGAACTTACCGAAAGGTAAGTAATACTCGGATTTTGTTTTTGTGCATTCCATTACCAATATGTTTTATTTATTACAACGAAAAATACAGCTAGTTTGCAAGACTCATAATATAATATCGGATAAATTGGGATCTCAGCAGACTCGGCGTCTACTTCTTCACAATTTCGACTTCAGCATGGAAACAGGACTTGCCCTGGAGAGAGAGAGAGAGAGAGAGACAGAGATATGGATGTTAGCTATAAGCACATATATAATGGGTAGCTCCTTGACTCACAGTATCGTGCTTAATCTCGGAATCGATTATGAGATGACCACGAGCCATGCCCAGCATGGCTTTGTATTTGGTCAGATCGACGGTATGTTCGTTGGCGCAGATCTTCTCCTCGACCACGGGGCAACTGGATGGAGCTCCGAATACCTTGAGCATGTCCTTTGCATCAGAAGACGCCTGATCGGCGGCTGCACACATATCCATTTTGCCCTCCTTTATCATAATGCCATCCTTCTGCACCTTATACTTAACCACAGCGGTGTTGAATGCCTTGTTAATCACGCAGCCCGTCGGAATCAATTCGCACTTCTTATTCAGCTTAACGCCGAAATTTTCATCCACTTTGATGATGGCGTCTTCACCCGCGCAGTTTTCCATCTTCAGAATCTTTGCCTTGTATCCATTCTACAGAAATATTTATTATACATGTATATATGTATATAGTATATCACTTTTCACTTTATATGCAACTTACACAGGCGAAAGCTGACTCAAAGGCCACGCAGATGAGCAGCAGTAAGATCCCAATATTCGACATTTTTGTTACAGACTTCCAGATTGGGTCTTATTTTGGCCCTATATATATGTGGCCTCCAGTTGCAATTAAATCCACATTAAGCGGTTCCTGGCTGCGGCGATCGCTGATCGTTCAGCTCAATTGCAGCTCTGATAACTAAACAGCCAGTCGGTCCATTAACTCGCTCTATATATATATGTATAGAAATATATATAGTTATAATTTAACTGGCATATTTAATTGTTGGATTTTGTGTACAGTAACCTAGCGGAATTTGACATGCATGTAGATCTGGGCGATTACCTCACTACTAAGCCAAACCCATTGAAACGAGAAATACAACACAATTTATAAGCAGGCACGTTACATACAGCATAGAGAGAGCATTTTCAACTGATGCGTAAATACAATTTATATTGTTGTTATCTTCTTTCGATCTAAATTGGGATTTCATTTTAAATCATAGCTAGCAACTAGCAGAGCTTCTTTTAATTTAATTTCAGAATCTACTTTACTTACAATATATACATAACACAAATATTTATTTTTAAATATTATTTAAATTTTTACTGGCAAGACTCACCATCGGAAAATTTTTCTATTGTCAAAATTGAGAGTTGTATACGGTTAGACCCGTTGTCTATGCAAGTATTGCTTACTTTGAGAATTTTAGACCTTTGTCAAAAAATGTATTATTATCCAATACACCCTGTCAGTGTATATATCTAAAATCAAAGAAATTTTAAAGTAAATATAATAGCCCTGAACCTATTTAGCACAGTTTTCAAAATGTTAACGTATTCAACAGCACGCTGCAAAGCTATTTGCTATAGAACTCTGTGCACTGCAGCATTTAGTACAAATGAGTTAATTCAACGATCTGGCAGCACCGCACGCAATCTTGCCGCAGTCTCTCGCTCAATATTTTACATGACTAGCACTGATACCATTTTAGCTTTATTTCCGTCAGATCTAGCTTTCTTTAAAGTCCGATTCCGGTTAGAATTTGAAAACAACGAGATGTGGGAATTCTAACTTTTTTCTTATTACTATCATTGTATAATTTTTGTATGAAATGCGAGTGTCGTCAAGTCAAATCTATTAAATTATTTAATAGAAATTACAAAATCAATCAAATCGAGCAAAAACTAAACAAGAAAAGTACGAATACATATTTATATAAGCGATAATGTCAACATCACGATTCAGCTTCTTTTGGCTACCTTTCTAGCTAAATCTAGCTTTTTGTGCTCTGGAAAAATGACAACGCTCACGACGAAAGCCAGCGCTTAACATTTAGTTCAGTTCAGCGAGTCGCGCCGTGCGGACGTTACGAACGCTTTAACAGAGAAGTGAGCCCGAGCCGCGGGTTTTTCAAACTCCGTTCAAAGAGTGCAAAACACAATTAAATGAGCTTGAAACACTCACAAAAAGGAAACTAAAGCAAATAGAGCTGTTTTAACATGCTGACAGAGTGATAAATAAATGTGTTTCTTGATGTTTAAAGTGTAAATATACAAAAGTTCAACTCAAAACGTAAGCAAATAACTTAAAGAAATATGAAAAATTTAAAACATAAAAAAATAAAGATAAAATCGAGTATCAAAAGGTGCTAATGCGTAGCCTAAAACAAATACGCGATAAAATATAGATATATGTATATAGTGAGAGCTGTGTTTTTGCCAAAGTGCAAAATAATAGAGATAGAGTGAGAGAGAGAGATAGAGAGAGAGAGAGAGATAGAGAGAGAGAGAGAGAAAGAGAGAGAGAGAGGACCTGAGAGAGATAGAGATCTGTAGTGCTACAGGTGGTGACGAACACAACAATAAATATTTTAGGTATAGAAATTCAAATGCAAACTCTATAAGACATAGATATTGAATGAGTGTAATGTGAGCATGTGTGTGTGTGTGTGTGTACGTGACGTCTATTGACAGCGCTCAATGTCGCATTTTAATCTAAATGCATTTTTTGGTGCTCTCAGGGAGACGTACACCCATATATATTATCATTACTTGAACCGCTATCTGTAACCTCTCTCGCTCTCTCTCTGACTATCTCTGTCTTTTTGTGTATTGTTATCAAATTAATTTTCATTGATAAGTGACTTTAAAACGTATCAATGTATGTGTGTGTGTGTGGGCATTGAAGGTATTTCAGCGAATTGAGAGAACAAACACGACCCGGTTACCTGGCCGTGATTCATCGCATTTATGAATGTGAATAAACGTTGTTTTGTCGTTGTTGTTATTGTTGTTGTTGTTGTCGGTTGCTTTTGCTGTTATTGTGGTTAACTGTAGACTGCGTAAGCAGCTGACAGCAATGACTGTCCACTAGCCAGGCTTAATCATCATCTGGGATCTGGCCTAAGCGTCTTGCAGATATTTTATTTGTATCTATTACACAATATGACGTCTCCGCTCGTGACTTGCTGCAGTTGCAGCCAATGACCCAGCTGCCAAAAAATAAATATATTAATGCAAGAAACAGTAATCGTAACACACATTTAAATACCCTTTTCAATTAAGGCAAATAATAAATATGAAAGATGTCATTGCATTTCGCACGATGAGCTCAACTTCGGTTTACTTTGCTATTGTTTCCATGAAAACTGGCTGATATAGTTCTTAGATGTTAAGAAGTTGTTGTTTTAGAAAGAAATAAATAAAATATATATAAAAAATATACACATACATACATATTATATACAAATAATAAAAGAAAGCTCGACTGAGATAAAGGCAAATTCCAAACCAGGATTCGTTCGTTTGTACACCAGACGGCTTATCACGTAAAAAGAAAACACCATGGGTGCGAGCGAGAGGCAGACATAGAGAGAGAAGTTGTATTATTGATAAAGGCATTACAAGTGTAAGTAAAGTTATTTAGAGATTAATTTATTAAGCATTCAATCTCCATGAATTTTAATTTAAAATTCGATTTAATTTTCATATCAGTTGTCATTGTGAAGGGAATTTTATAATATATTTTAATCTTTAAAACTATTGAAAATCTGACAAACCTTTTTACTCAGACCCCAAACAAATCAATCGATTGTTAAAAATGATCATGGAATATATTTCATAAGTAGCGTGACAAAAAAGTTAT